CAACGCAGGAAGGCTGCAAGAAAGAAACTGAAAAGCTGAAAGAACTGAAATAATGGAACAGCACTGTGTATAGAACACACACACAGCTATGCCACAGCTTGTGTAGTTCCTGACCCATACGGTAGGGAACCTTATTTGAATACAGATGTTCAAAACAGCAGATGGAAAGTGGGCAAATTAACTGTTTTCTGGAGTGTATACTCAGGATTCTATTTGATCCAGTATAAACACACATTTATACCAATTAAGAAAATGCCAAAGTTTACTCCTCCATCCTCCAGTTTTCTCTCCCAGGAGAGAAACAATCTAGGAAACCCCTGAATAATGGTAACACCTGAATAAAGGTGTTAACAGCATTCAAGTATTAGGGTAAATTAATTTATATTGCAACTCTGCATTCCATGAAGCACCACTTTGGGATAAATCTTAATTTTCCTCACCACTTTCCCCTTGTAGAAGTATACTGGTCATAGCACCTGTTACGTCAATACCAATGTATTTACAAATCAAGGTATCAGTCACTACATACCTCAGTAATACCCAGGATACCTCTGTACACAAAGGAAGAGATGTATTAAAGCAACAAGACCATAGTTATTTCTTATAGAGCCAAGTTTGTTAATTTTATAGAAAACTGGACAAAATAGTAAGATTAGCTTTCCTTTTGCTACAAGGCAAGCTGCAGGATCATATAATGATCCATCCTACTGTTAAAAAGTAGCACTTTCAGAATTCAAGCACACCTGTATTTTCTTGAGCAACACTGTACCGCTCTCTCAGGTGAAAGTGCTCTCTGACTTCTCTCCTCTCACCTCACCACACATTTATAGGACTGCTCTTCAATATTAACAAAATGCTATCATTCAAAAAAGCTCTCGAACAAGCATCTCCTTGTTGCAAACAAGTCGTAGCCTCAATAGCTTCACTTATAATGGAGGACAGCCAGCACCATACTCAATTTGTAGAACTTGTACCTATGGAAAAGGCCCAAAGCTTGAGAATTTGATTCCTGCTTTTCCGTTTTAATTTTTCAGGCACAGACGGCAGGAAGTACAAAGATCTTCTGTTGCACCGCTGCTAACGGTTCTCCTTCCTGTCATGTTGACATCTACATTTAAGATTTACTATTTTAAGTCACTACAATCAAACTAAAAATCTTCAGTTAACCAAGACTTTTTCTTGCTTTGAAACATGTGCTTGAATGCTTCTCTAGCTTCTAAAAAAGCATAGCTTAGGGATGTTGCAAAAAAGCATAGCTTTCAATAGGTAACATACTGAAATTGTTCCAAATCTTCTACTACTATTTTACTTCTGTCTTGCTTTTCTTAACAACAGAAAGAACCTAAGTTTGGGCTTTAGGTATGTTTCAAGACAAAAAAGAAGCCCACTGACCCCTAAAAAGGAAAAACCCAAAATGCCACTTGCTAATCATAGAATGGTCTGGGTTGGACACGACCTTAAAGATCATCCAGTTCCAATCCCCCTGCCATCAGCAGGGACAGGGACACCTTCCACTAGACCAGGTTGCTCAAAGCCTCATCCAGCCTGGCCTTGAACACTTCCAGGGAGGGGGCATCCACAGTTTCTCTGGGCAACCTGTTCCAGTGCCTCATCACCCTCACAGGAAGGAATTTCTTCCTAATATCTAATCTAAACCTACCCTCTTCCAGTTTAAAGCCATTACCCCTTGTTCTATCACTAACTGCCCTTATGAAAAGTCCCTCCCCAGGCCCCTTCAGGTACTGGAAGGCAACCACAAGATCTTCCCGGAGCCTTCTCTTTTCCAGGCTGAACAGCCCCAACTCCCTCAGCCAACAAACCTATTAACAAAAAAAAAGCACCTTCTGCTCCAGTAGCAGTTTGCAGAAAAGCAATAGAATGCTATTTCAGAAACTTCCCTAGTGCAGTCAGTACAAGACAACACTTTAAATGTAGCAGACATGCAAAAAATAGAACAGCTATTTTGATACAAATTGTAGTTATGATGAAACCCAAATACTTACACTAGGGAACAAATTACAATCATGACAGTGGAAAAAGCTAAGTCCATACAATCTGTTACTATCAAGACAACAAGTTCACAAAAAAAAGCCAGCTCTGTCTTCTAAACAGGTGCTCACTGAGTAAGATGGGAACCACGGACTGAACAAACTGAAAACAAAAGAAAAGGCAGTGCCCTTAATTCAATATTGCTTATCAATTTAAAGAGGTAGAGGTCTTGAAGCAAGAAATTAATATAACTTAAGACTACCACGTTGTATGCACAAGGACACAAAATTAAAAATTCACAAGGTCAGCTTACTTGTGTCATCTCCTAACATTTGATGGTTTAAGTTAAAATAACTATGTCTGTGAAGTACTCTGTCCATGCTATATGGTGTAAGTAACACTGGAGAGTGGCTAAGGACAAACTAAACACTTTGCTTTCATACCCGTGACTAACTGCAGACCCAGCCTGGGTGACACTTTCAGCAACTGAACTATGTGCTCAAATATTTCTGTTTACAAAACAGAATGGTGCACGAGAGGCTATGATGCCTCTACTCATTTTACTTAATTAGATCAGTAGCAAGTACTACAGCAAAACTTACTTGCACTTGGTATCCTTTATATTACAGAGAACGGAAAGCAGGTGGTTTTGTGAATGACCCTGTGCCTCAGATCACTACATATTTGTCTTGTTTGACTATAATCAATAGTGATTGATGGCCTACAAGTTTTGCTGACCTGCATCCAATTTACCAGCTTTGAAGTTCTAGAGACTGTACTCTCAACTATGCTAATTTAGATGGGTTCAATCTCAGGTGTGGTATTTTTGTGGCAGTAACATACTCCATTATTCCTCTACATTCATTAGAAAAGTGTCTGTTCCTGTTAAAACAATACTACTATCCCTGCTTCCCATTCCCAACATTACCTCCTGAAGAAAAAATTGACTAATTAACAGTCCTATGTACAGTATAACCCTAAAGATAAAATAATAAAAATTCACATTATACTGATATGATATAGTGCATAAAAAAATCACAAACTTTATGGAATAGTTCAGTGCAGAAAGAAAAATAAAGATGACTGATTTCATAGAACAGAACGAGAATTTCTTTTTTTATTTACAATACACAAACAACCTTTCAAAATAATGAAAGAAGAAATTCTAAGTATGCTGATGAACAATCCTCCCTCCTTTATTTGCTTTAAAAAATCCCAAAACTCTACAGTTGCTTGAGTGACTGTGCAAAAATTGGGCTTAAGCTTACTTAAAAGCTTTCAGGGAATTAATATTCAGCTTCATTCAAAATTCTCAGAAAACTGTAGGAAGCTAAAGACGTTTAGAACTTCAAAACAAAGATTATTTTTTCTGAAAATTACAATCAAGGCATTACAAAGGAAAACTTTATACCAACAAATTAATCACACTTTCCAGTGTAAGCAGGAGATGTATGGGATAAACATTTCTAGAAGTTATTGAAGAATGGAATTGTGGTTAAATCACCAAGTTTATCTTCTCTCCTTAGTTCTGCTATAAGCTGCTTCTAACTGTACCTAAAAATGTTTCTACTGTTATCAGCTTCCCACTCAAAAACAAGTAACAGCAGCAATGTCCTATTACATTAGTATTTTGTGTATTACTAGTGCAGTGTGACAGCATCTTCTGTAGGCTATGAAAGTTTCATTTATACTTTGAATGATTTATTGAAATACTATTGAATATTTTTGTATGAAATACAACTTATTTATCATTAAAGCAATTATCCCAGAATTAAGTTTTTCGTGCCTAGTTTTCCAGAAAGTTTTAACATTTTTTACCCTCTCATTGCTCAACAATGAGACAAACTCAGCTAGTTCTCCAAGTGTAAATATCACACTAGGTAGGAAGCAAGCTACGAGAGCAGCACAGGATTTCCCCAACATGCTCTGTCACATACTGCCTCTGTGGGTCCCTCTTCACTGGCTCAAACATTAACAAAGAGATTTGCTTAAAACAGGATACAGGACTTAAGGATAGCAAAGCATTTGCATGGACTCTGCACAGCAGAGGTTGAATGAAAAAAAAAAAAATCTTGAAAAACCCATACTCAAACAGAAGTACTACAGAAGAGAAATTAAAGCAAATAAATCAAAGAATAAAGATAAAACAAAGAAAAAAGAAATTAAAGCAAAGTTGTTTATAACTCCCCATAACCAAAGTTACACAATAAAATAAATGTAACAACAGCCAGAAATAGAAGAATAGCAAAAAGCCTTAGCCTCTTTCTTGCATGTTACAGCTACAGGCAGCAGCAGTCTAGTATTTGTAAACAAAAAATATCCCAAATTTTTATAATGGGCAACCTCCAGTAGGACAATACAACATTTCTGTGCTTCAGCCAAAACCACACAGACGTATAGTTAAACAGTAAAAAAACCCAAACAAAAAAAACAGGGTTTTGGCAAAACACTTGTCACAATGGTTATAAAGGACTTCTGAACTTCTATCTACAGGCACAAAGAACATTCTGATTACACTCAGCCATTTTGTCAATTCTATATACAAAAAGTAATTGCTAAAGGTCCCCTGAGTTTGATAAATATTTTATTAAAGTTGAAAGAATATAAAAACAAAAGTAAAAAATGACATTAAAGTAATAAAAACTATCACTCTTGTAAGTCCACAAAAAACAATTACTACATTAAAGAAAAAGCCAAGAAAAACACTATCCCTTACAGCATTTTGTCTTGATTATGTAGACAAAGTACTTGTGTACCTAATTAGATAAAAGTTTTTACTGTTAGCAAAGAGTAAAGCTGGAGGAGAAAGGAAAGCAAAGTAGTAATGCTCAGATAGGACCCTCACAGAACAACTGCCCTCAGACAAACTGCACATGCACATTATAGCAAGGATACCACTGTCTCCTAAGGTCATACATAAAGATATTTGTTTATTATATACTTTTGCCACTTAACTAAAAGATCACAGTTCAACTGTTTATAGAATTTCACATGTTATGCTATATACTTACCTTTTGCAGACTAGTAGGATTTAGCTGGGTTTTATCTATTATTTTCACAGCAACCTTGGGGAAAAAAACCAAACAAAACAGACAAGCATGGATTATTAAACTCAGAAAAATGTTTCAACAAAAATATATCTCACCTCTGTAAGCAAAAGCATAGCAGTGCCTATAAGGCATGCATGTATGTGTCTGCTGTTCAGCATTTCATCAAGCAAAATTGCCTCATATATTAGGATTTACCAGCAGCTCAGAGCTTTGCCACCAGATGGTACCACCAAGGGATCAGTTTTATATTTCTGTCAGTATTTGGACAGAACAATGTCCACTGCAAAAACAAGCCCTCCAAACACAAGATCTAGCTACGAATACATTTTAATATCACGGATCTATCTACCAACAGATTATCAATATCAATGAAATTTATCTGTCAATAGATTTCTCTTCAGTTTTGGAAATGCCTGGGGATGAACAGACCCCCTCCCAGACACAAACTATCCCTTGATGTGCAATGAACTTTTTGATCTCTTCACCAAGAAGTTTTTTTTAAAAAGGGGTGCGTGGTTGGAGGGAGAAAACTCAAGCACCTCAGGTAACTTTTCCTATATCCTGAAACAGCCTCTTTGCATCCTCCTTTATGATGACAAAAAAAAAAAGCTTTTTCTTCCATTCAGAACAGAAAGGTTAAAAAAAAAAAAAGAAATAGCAGAAGTACTTATTATAAAGATAGCCAAAGAGAATATGCAACACACTGTCAGCCTCTTTTGGGTTTGTTTTTTTGAAAGGCTTACCTCTCTTCCAGTAAGCACATGCCTTGCCAGTTTCACTTTGGCAAAATTTCCTTTTCCTATTGTTTTCAGTAAGCGATAATTTCCAATGTGAGGATGCTCTTCATTGGTAGATGTAATGGAGTTTCTACATCGGGGGATGTTTTGTCTGCTACTTGACTTGATAGGCTGGACATGTGGTTCAGTGTATCCATCCACAGAGGTATGCTGGAAGGCAGATAAAATAGTTGGAAATGTAGCTACTTGGATTTTAGACAGTTACAGCAGAATAGACTAAAAGCATAAAAAGGTGTAGAGGAGAGTAATTTATTTACTTTTACAACATAACTGGTAAGTTTGGATGTTAACCTAAGCAGAATATGCTGTCTTTGAGCAGAGTTTGATGCATATCTCAAGAAAAAAGATTTTACCAGCTCCAAAAGTAAAACTAGAGACACCTAGGCAGTAATCAACAAACCATTACAGACTTTTTTTTTTTTAATATGAAAGTATGTCAAACTACACACTACACCTCTATGTTGCACATAAACTTGTTGAATCATAAAAATATACAGTACAAGAAATATTTGTACTTTGGCATATTTGGAAACAAAGTTTCACTCAATTATTTTTTTCTTAACTTTCTTCACTCAAATAACATTTTGAGAAAAATACTTTTTCAAGGAAGCTTTGTTCCTCAAGCCTGGTTGCATCTTTTTAAGTCACAGAAGTTCTCGTTCAAGTAACAAACAATCTACATCTTTATTTAAAAATACAAATCTATTCTTAAAAAGAAAAATCCATGATATCTTATAAATACAATCTAAATCTCAAAAAGTCTGAAGAACTAAAAGGAAGTTATTTTTAATGCATGCCAACACATCATCCCACATTAAATGTTAGTCACCAAAATCTGCAGTGCTTCTGTACTCTTTAACTTCCAAGTATATAAGGGGCAAGATACAGATGGGGCTTGGAAATGTTCCAAGGAGAAACCAAAGTAACGGAAGATGTCAAAGGGGTGTTAAGTGTTTCTGTATTTCAAATGCTTCCTAATACTAGCAGTAGATGGGTACAAATGTTTAACAGGTAAAATTTAGCCTCTAATCTTTTAAGTTACAGACTTTAAGGCAGGCACATACTGTATGCAGAAACAGTGTCTTCTCAAACCAGTTTTTAGGTTTTGTAACAGAAAGGTACGCTTACTGCCAGCTCACTCAGTCCCTGCTGGGCACAAAGCACCAACACAACTCAAACACCACCTTAATATTTTCTCGCTATTTAATTCAATCAAAAAGTGGGTATTTCGATAGCTTTGTACAGAGCACTAACTGAGCCTGTTTCTTTACAGACCAAAGGTTTGTAGGTCTTTGACCTCAAGCTGAAAGCAGAGTCAGAAGGCGGTGGGAGGTTTGACTGTTTCTCCCAGTACCCAACCTAACGCTGGTCTACGCTGATCTCATCCATCATTCCTTATGCAAGTAATTATTTTCTAATACAAAACAGAATTCAAAGCAGTGCTTCCAACTTCAGTGTGCATTTACTACAAACTGAAGTCAAGCCCCTCCTGTAAACACCAAGGCTTACAGACAGTCCCACTGAGCCAAGCAGAGTTATTTCAGGTCATAAGCACTAGTAGAATTGGGAAAACTAACAAACAGCTGCAACACAACCGGAAAAAACAAGGAGTATACCACAACCAGAATGTTCTTCCCAAATGTAGCACAACTCTGCTTACATCACCTCCAGCATTATTAATTATTCACTATGGCCAGGAGAACAATCCTAAATATAATATTCTGTTTGTCTCTCTATTACCTGAGTCTCTCTGCAAAATACTACTTTACCCTCACTGCTAAACCATTGCCCAAATTACTGCAGAACCAAGCAAGCCAAGTATGTTTAGATTCAGTATCTCAGACAAATGTATTCAACCATGAAATAACACACTAGCATTAGTATTTATCCTTTAGAAGCACGTAATTAAAATACTTTCTGTGAACTTGGAAAGAGAGGATCAGAAAGACAGCTCCAGGCAAAGAGGCTTTGAAACATTCCTTCAACGTCAGACACTAGCCCTACATACGATAAACCAGAGCCCAAATAAAAGTCTGGCCTAAGAAAACATCCCACAAGATCAGTATTTGTGCCATGCTAATAATGAGTATTACAGCAGTACCCAGAGCCCTGTTCAGGGCTACAGCACTACGCTGTACGAGCACGCTTTAAAAGGCTTTGAGCCCTATCTATGCACACAATTAGATCTTCACTACTTGAAATACAATGCCTACCAGCAGCATTAGCAACCTGAATATCAATTGTGAATTTCAAACACTTCATGGGATTAGCTGACTTCCAGGGGATACTTGAAGGGATCTTTCAGATAAACAGTTGGATAGGCAAGCAAAACCAATGCCATAGGCAAAGTGAAAGATGGTTGCACAGGATAGATAATTTTAATGCATATTTAACAGGGAAAGCAGTTATTTAATCATAATGACAATACAACACAGAAACAAATCTGAAGAGAGGGGGGGAAAAAAAAAAGAAAGTAACAAGGTTCATGGTCATGATGATTCTGAATTTTCTTCTTTTTGTGACAGAAAAACCAAGCCCCTCTGGATAGTTTCTTAATTATTCCCTCTTAGACAGATTATCTTTGGAGTCAACCACTCTCCCCAACTATGCCCAAGGATGGCAGAAAAAATGCATAAAGAAGGTCAAGTTTCTTAGTTTGTGAGCCACATATATATACAAACACACACATATATAATTCCTGAATTTGAACAGCACTGAATGAAACTCAAATTCATGTTAAGTCTTGCAATGGGCGACTCCTTTGCACATAACCAGCTTACTACTGTTGGAAAGTACAGAGGAATTTAAACTAGAAATTCATCAACTTCTAGAAATCAGCATTCAATGAAATTGAAACATAACAAGGTTAAGATGCTGGGGAAAAAATTAAAAATCACATTAGGTCAAATAACAGTACGCTGAAGCTGAATTCCACAGATGCTTGCAAATAACCTCACTGTTTAGAAAGGCAGGCTACGTAGTTTTGAAATCTTTCTGGTCCATTACAATACGTTCATTCATTATGCATCAGCTACTATGTGGCTATTTAAAAATGCCATTTCAGAAGAACTACCTCTAAATTATGAGAAATTTTTCAGGGTGCTGGAAACAAGTGGGCTGTAAAAAAACCTCAACACTCTCCTTGAAGTTCACTGCCATCTAAAAACAATTCCAGCTAACAACCTACATTTCCTACACAGGGTTTTAATTAGGGATTCTGGTATTTCTCTAGATACCTTGATAATACATCTTATTATATATATAATATATATAATAATATATAAAACGTAATGGGAAATACTACCTTATTAGCACACCACAAACATGACTCCCTGTATGTTCAGTTTATGACAGTGTTAAATAAAATGTCTAGAAATCAACACATACAATTAGATGCTTCTTAAAATCAAATGCAATTTTAAACAAAAAAGGTGCAGCAGTAACGGAAGTTTAGAGCTGAAACAGTATATCAGAGCAGCTATTTAGGTATTTTGCACATTAGTCAAGTATTTAAAAAAAAAAACAAAGCAAAACAAAGCCCCAAACCTGTACAAAACAAAATCCATCACCTTCTCAGTAATCTCAAAAAAGTAATTTGAGCATTCAATTTTAGATCACGACTGAAGAGAGCTCAATTAGTACTTATTACTCCTAACTAGGTTTGTTTCTGACACAGTCCATTAGAGCTATCACAGAAAGTCAACGGCACTAAAATCACAAGAGAGTTAGCCTAACTATAGTTTTACAGTTAGTTATAGTTTTCCTTGTTCACCCAAGGCAGCTTTGCAAAAGCAAGATGACCTGATGCCCAGACACATTATCTTTGAGAAAGTGCACAAGAACTAACCCCACCAAGAAGAGGCAAAGCACGTGCTCCACTACTTTACTTACTCAGCATCCTTTAGCCACTTAGCTAGCCACTGGAGTAGCATTCTCACAGATTAGACACTGTAATTAAACTTACATCATCACATATATTAACTGCTCCTACGGCTTAGTCTTAAAAAGTCCCCAAAATCATCTGGCCACCAAACCACAGAGTCTTTCTCAGTCAAACAACACTGAATGTCCCTGAGTAACGGGGTAACTTCCACACATCGATCTGCCTACAAATACACCTCACTGAATTAAACAAATGTCTTAGTGCTGAATTTTCCCCTTCTTGAATTACTGCAAGAGAAGTTCCTTGGTACAGTCAGCCCATGCAAGCAAAGTACACACATTTGGTGATAGAAAAGGCAAATCATCACACTCCCTCTCTCAATATCATCTCCTGTTCTGAACTTAAGTTTCTTGCAGATAATTTTTATATTCATAATTCCAAACATTTTCAAACATGAGCATTTGTAACAGCTGTCACATTCTGCAAGGTAATCAAAATAGCTAGTCCAGACAGAGGGAGTCTGAAGGGTTTAGAAGATCATCTTCTAAACAGCTCTGATCTACAACAGCTTTGATTCACAATACAGGGGAAGGAAAGAGGAGAAAGATGAGAAGTCATGTCCTGGACGTCCTGGTTTTGTGTTTTAACTGCTTGCTGTGTGTAACTATTCCTTTAGGACCTAGGAGCTTCTAGCAAACCACCTCAAGCAAGTCTTTTTCTTTTGCTGAAGTAACAATCAAACTAAATTAGAAGAGTCCAATTTTTTGAAAGATCGTGGTAAATCTCAATGTAGAAAGCAACAGAAACATTCAGATCAGCTTGTTCTGCAGCACAGATCAGGTTTACAGGTATGAAGCACGGTGCAACTCTGAACTGCACAAGATGAGAGTACCTGATCCATCAGCTAGTGCCAGAAGAAGGGGATTCATTCCTCTTCCAGGTAAGCCTCACACCTGCACAAAACCACAGCTCACTCTTGCCACATGTACCCATCACATCATAACTATAAGCACCTCTGATCTCAATCAGAACATTAATAGAGCACTAGCTACTCTAATTTTTCATACTTCTCAGATGCATGAAAAAGAGCTTTGGAGGGAGCAATTTAAAAGACTGAATGTATGCACACATGATTCTTTTCATAATTTCGTATCAGCAATTAAATAAATATTAGATTGGAAATGCATGATAGAAACTTTGTTATTAAAAACATCCAATACCCAAAGCAACCACTCTACTGAAACAGGATAATTTGCAGGACTCAGCT